GGTTGGGACTGGATGAGCTTTAAGGTCCCTTCCCACCCAAACCAGTCTGGGGTTCTGTGATCTCCAGGACAGTACAAACACGAGGTGCTCTGGAAATACAAAATTAGACAAATTTACAGTTACAAATAAATCTCAATAAAATTAGCAGCCGCATTCTACAAATGAGCTTATGGTCTAATTTAATATGGACAAGAACAGGCAATACCACATTTATTTTGTCTCTGAGCAATTATCTAATCAAACCACACATGACTTCAAAGCTGAGGCTGAGCCAGGCGATAGCAATAAAGCAGGATAGTGATGCCCTACACTGTCTCCTATTTGTTAATACATCTTCTATTTAAATCTTTGCCTCTTCTGCTTACTGAATTACCTTTCCTGCATCCAGCTGTGTTGTTCACCAAAGGCGAGGATCCACAAGTCTGAGATCTTCCAATTTTAAAATCTACCTCTGAGGTGCCTTCCTTGATAGGTTTTATCAGCCTTCGTATGTTATCCCAGGGCACGCTCCAGGGACCAGCCAGTGTTTGTTGGCTCTTTTCCTTGACTCCACCAGTGGATAAAAATGCTTCAGAGCTTTTCATAAATCACACTGGCACACTACATCACTGTTGTGATCCCTAGATTATGGAAGATTAATATCATGCATATTTTAAGATAGTATCATCGCATTTAATTCCTGAGACTTTGTCAAAAAACGCATCTCGATGTATTGAAACACACTGACCTCAGTCTTTCTGTGGTTTTGTAATGCAGAATGGTCAGACAATCCCATAATGGCACTCACTGCAATAGTCGTTGTGATGGAGCACGCAACATTTGCAGTAAGGTGTTTTCTGTGATCACCAGATACCTCAGCTTCACTGAGGACAGCGGAGATGGGATGGGAACTAAAAAAAGTTAATTGAAAGAAGAATAACCCGTTATTTCCTTCGCATGCTCTAGAAGAGGGCAGATGTTACAAAAACCTGTCAAACGTTCATTGAAGGAGACCTTTTCTAAACCCACCAGTCTTTAACATCAGGGAGTGTGAGCTTCTTTTCCTACACTTGTTTGATGAACACAGTCCCCCAGATACCAGGAAACACGACTTTAAGGTCCAGAAAGGAACACTGTGTTACTGTGCAGACACAAACAAACCCTGCCAGGTGCCTCCTCAGCGCTCACTTCAGAATCCACCGATTCAGAAAGGGGCTTGAACTCCTGCCGAGGCACCTCTTCACCGAGCTGCCTTCAAACAAGTGCAGCCAGGATCCATAGCTGACAACGAACGTTCCAAGAAAAAGGTACTCCAGGGCAAACTCCAGGACAATTCTTCACTCTCATTTCCAGCTTGTCTGTGCACAGTGTCATCTCCAGCCGCATCCCATCTCCGCTGTCCTCGACACAGCCCAGCCTGCTGCAGGGTAGAGCGACTGCAGGCAGAGACCCCTCACTGCTGGCTGCTCCGGGACCAACACCTCTGGTTTTCGGGGGGATTCTGAAACATCTTGGCTCATTTGGAAAGCTGCAGAATCTTCCACAGCATGAAGTATTGCTCTGTATGAAAGGACTATCAGAAAGCTGACTCTTGAAAAATGTAGTCACTAAAATAGATAAATGCAATTATTTTTTTTCCCCATCAAATTCTTCCTAGGAGATAGTTACTTCCATATGCAGATGTTCAAGTCTATTGCTTTCACTGCTATTGTGCTGGTGATAGTTGTACCAAAATACTACAGTCCCTCTTCAGGGAACAATAAATGCATTCTGCTCAAGTAAAGTGTTCCAAACCATCTTTGCTACTGAGCATTTTCCCAAACCTGTGTGTACGCAGCACTGTGCATGGTGCTAGCTCGGTGGTACTGGACCCCAGTGTGCCATCTCTTGGTTATGTGTGATGATCACAACCTGAACCACAGCTTTAGTTAAGCATCAGCTTAAAAAAAAAAAAGATTTGTCTGTACATAGCCCTGCTTCATTTTCATTCCAAGGCTGTCTTAAAACCTACGTAGTTAAACCAGACTTAGTCCTTCAGCCTAACTGATATGATACTCTCAAAACCCCCTGAAGAGTTCTCCTGCCACAGACGTGCATCCGATTAACAAACCACTTTCTAGCTGGATCTGTTCAGGACAAAACCCCAAAGCCCTTGTTTGCTGCAATCACTGATGGTCAGTAGATGGATGCAGGCACCGTGCTCCTGGTCCCAGCTGAGGCCCTGAGCCTGTCAGCACTCAGGGGACAGGTTACTTCTTGCGGTGACTTTGGGTCACAGGAGCAGCGAGGCAGGTCCCAGCAGCAGTGGGATGAGGCCCAGGAGCTGGTGTGCTGCCCAGCCCTGGGGCCGACTGCGTCTTCTGGAACAGAAATGTGTTTGTGTGCATTTGAAACCTGAACTGAAATGTTTGTCTGACCATCTGAGCACCCTACGCTGCAACCAGAACAAGACAGGATGTAAGAGACACGCTGCCCCTGCCAGGGAACACCTGGGCAGGGAGAAGCAGTGCCCAAATGCCAGCAGGTGCCTCAGCAGGGGTGCTGTGCCTTGCCCGTGCCACGGCCCTGGGAACGACACCGGGAGAGCAGAGCAGGTCAGCATCGCCAGCTTTACAGGAAACCTGGGAAAATGAAAACCTCCCTTTTGGAGAGCAGATGATCAGGGGTGGCAGCCAAGCCTGTCTCTGAAACCCCCCGCTCGCCCAATCAGACAGGGGGCTGGGAAGAGCAGAGCACTCATCAAATGACAGAGGTTCCTGCTGTCACCTTAACCCTGGTTATCAAGTGACACCGAGGACGTGCTGCAACACTCCACAAACTGCTCTGTTTCCCAGCTTACTTAAACGCAAGCTGGACTTGTACAGAAATAAACCTTCACAGCATCGTTCAGGGAAGACGTGCCACGTGGAGGTTCGCTGCTGAAGCTCCCAAAGGAGAGGGCTCCGGCCGCGGGCAGGGCTGGCTGGGTGCTGGGGCTCTGTCCGGGGAGCTCGGCTCTCCGCCGCGCTGATGACAACCTTGTCACTGCCTTGCTGAAAGCTGCATCCTTAGAGGACTCTGCCTGCCACCATGCCTGCTCAGCAGAAGAAAATTATCTTCTGCATAGCTGGGGTGCTGAGCTTCGCTTGCGCGCTGGGGACGGCGGCAGCCATCGGCACGCAGCTCTGGGTTAAGGGGACGATACTCTGCAAGACAGGAGCCCTGCTCGTCAACGCCACCGGCCAGGAGCTGGAGAAGTTTATTGGCGAGATCCAGTACGGGCTTTTCCACGGCGAGCGTGTGAGGCAGTGCGGGCTCGGGGGGAGACCTTTCCAGTTTTCATGTGAGTAACAATGGCATTTGAATTATTTAACGTCGCGCTGCTGACGGCTGAGGGAGCCGGGAGATAGCTGCCCCAGCGTCCCCTCGCTCCTAGACAGCCTAACATCACGAAATATCCTGAAGCAAATGCTGCCGCTACAGTGTTCTGGTCTTCAGGTTCAAATGACTTCTTTTCTGATACTAGTAAAGCCACTGCAACATTTTCAACAATCTCTATTGCCATTAAACAGATATCTAAATTTCAAAAGATTTCTACTATTACTTTAAAAAAAGAATAGGTTGGGGTTTTTTTCAATTAATCTGTGTCATCTTCCTCTGTGCACATGTCAGTTATGTCCTCTGTTCCATGGTAAAAGGATGAACTAAACTAGCAGATATCTCATGAAAGAGCTGGGGTGTAGATATGTTTGGCTGCTGTCAGGAAACAAAGCAGCCAAAAAGTTAGCAATCTGCTGCATCAATAGGAAAAACAGCTGCTTGGTGCTAGCTGGTGTGCAGTCGGTTCATCTGCAAGTACAACTTGGTATCTGACACACAGAATTTTATCAAAGACTGTTAGCAGTGGTTTTGCTTTACATGTAATATTCATAACCTATTTATCTTCAAGGATAAGATCAATAAAATGATCAAGTGAACACAGTTTGTATAGATCAGCACGTTAAACAGATGATAACAAACAGCCACTTGTTGTATGCACAGTGTGCCACTGAAGCTGTTACAAACGCAGTTTAGAAGCATTCTGCTGGTAAATTGCTCACACAAGTCATCAAGGCGAGGTAAGGTTACCAGATTAGGCAGCACAAATTATTCACTACATAATATTTCCCAAAGCAGTAGTCCAAATTCATTTCATATAGCATTAAGATTTGCCACCTCTAATGAAATCCCAGCACTAGTATTTATATGGCTGCAGTTCTCCTCCATGGCTTTGTTTGCCGTCGCAGTGTGCAGACATCCCACCACCGGTCACGGGCACGGGTGGGTTCCCCGAGGGCTCTACAGCAGCAGCTCGGTGACTGACCTTGGTCAGGGCTCATGGCAGCGCCGGAGCAGTGAGGCAAAGCTGAGAAAGAAGGACAAGATGCAGCAGCAGCCCAAGGCCACAGCCGTCCCCGCAGCAGCCCCTGTCCGCACACGCACCCCAATTCCCGCTTGTCCGGCCACAGGATGGAGCCCGGCCAAGTAGCCCTGGGGCTCGCACCGGCCCTGCGGGAGCTCCCCAGGCCAGGACAGATCGTGGCCAGTTTGGTGCCAGTGCCGCATCAGCTCAGGGCATGGGGCAGGACTGACTTGGGACACCAGAGAAGCCAGAGAAGCCACAGCCGAGACAGCTCGCTGGCTTCGCTTTCTGGTCATTTTTTCACCTATTTGCTACTTAAATATTTTTAGAGCATTTCATTGACGTGCCTTGCATTTGGGCTCCCATCACGGCATTTCATCTTGTCATGGCTGGAATAGTTTAATATACTGCTAGTGTGATTGTAACAATAGTTACAGAATAATTTAAATTTTGTGGGCAGCGTGAATTAATATTACAGGTACGAGACAGAATACAAATGTGCAGCTTGTTTGTGGTGATTTAATAATGTCAGTCATCACATTTTAAATATCTCACAGTGCTACGTAGAGGTGAGCTCTGGAGCAGTGCAAGTGCTGCCCAGCACTTCCAACCAAAAGCACTCCAGGGTTACAGACTTCGCTCTCGCCACGGCCATATGCTCTCTCCCCATGCGCTCAGGATCTCGTGTAACCAAGCTGTCCTACCAAAACCTTTACCAAACCTGCATTCATAAGTGTTATTTCAACAGAGCACACAAACAGAAAAGTAAACAAAGAACAGAAATAACACCAGGTGAAGTTTTTAATTAGTCTCAGCTAAGCAACCCACTTTGGAACGGTCAAATACCAAAACCTGAGTGTTCATAGAGAGCTGCAGAATTCTACTGCACAGGACACTACTAAAAATTCATGTTTTTAATATGAGTGCCCAGTGCACATATTCAAAGAACTCCAAGGCTTTCAGGAACTGCATGAAGAAGAAAACGTTGCAAAGTAATTCACTCAACCTCAGTAAATATCACTGTTCTCATTTTCAGACAGAGAAAATGAGGTTTGAAGCCCGTGTTTTAATGCCTTTTCCCAGGCTCTGAAATCAAGGTTGGATTTCATCTCACGCCCGAGGCACCTCGGGTCAGAGGTGAAGCTGCGCCGTGCCCATGGTGGAGCAGCATCTCTCCCCAGGGAGAGCAGCCTTGATTCCCAGTACCCTGGTCCCAGCCCATCGGGCACCAGTTGCAGCAGATCCTCTCCTGCAGTTCCAGGGCTGAAGCACTGGGGTCAGAGACACAACCCCAGAGCCTTCACTGACCTAAACCCCAGCCCAAGCTTGACAGCTAGAGCATTCTTCTACCTTTGACCCTCCTTCTGTACAAGCCAAGCATTTCTAGTGAGGTACCTCACTAGGTCTCACTCACAATATTGTAAACCTGCCCGCTGTGTTATTTACATGGACTGGCATCCCTTATACAGCCCTCTGAAAAGACATGCTCCGAGGGGACCTGGGGCACTGTCCATACCTGAAACACAACCTGGTCACAGCCGGAATGATGTCACCAGCCCGGTTGTACGGACCACGGCAAACTGCAGGGCAGGCTCTGCCTCCGTGAGCTTTCCCTGGTAGCTGATGGCGGAAGCATTGATGTCCTCCTTACAAATGGTTCTCAGATCACCTTTTATTTAGATTAAAAAGCAAATGCAATACCTACTTCAATAGGATTTATATTTAGAAAAAAAACGGCTGGGTGATTTAGCACAATATGCCTCTGCTAGAAGCATTCACTGCAGAGACCAATTAACGAGGGAGGCCAGTTCACGTTCTCAGGGGCTGCAGCAGACTCGTCCCACTGGAGCCAGTGCTCTCGGGAGCTTGCTGGGAGCATCCTGGAAAGCAGGACAACCGTACACAACATACACACCCGTAGTTCAATCCACTGAAGTGCACTTTAGCCTGTCTGAGAAGAAAAGGCATGGAAAATGGGCTAAGTGATTTAGTTCTGTGTTTGTTCCCATTAAATGCTCCCCTCTGACCACTGTATCTCTTTTAATTGTAAAATGAATTTTCTCTGCCAGCAAACCCAGTTCGGCTGGGGAAAGCCTTCTGCTTCATTTGCTCTTGCTGATTCTCATCAGTTTCTGGGTCAGCAGTTCATTTTCTAAAGGTCACTGGCATGCATCCCTACCACACCATTTCATTCACTGTGATGAAGGAATGCTTTTCTTTCAAGACAATACAGCTGCTGGAACTAATTTTTCCTGATATGTCACATATAAAATTTTAATGACATAAACCACTATACAGGCAGGTGCCAAGGGAAAGACTCATACAATGCAGTAATGTTTTCTTAAAATAAACAATACCAAATGGTATTATTAAACACACAGGTTGCATGCCCTCCCAACAGACCAGGCGGTGTTGCAAACCCTGTTCCTTGCAGCAGTTCTGCAGGGGCAGGGACTCCAGCCTTTGTGCTGGCCAGCCCGAGTGGTACAACAGTGATGTTGTGCTGTCCATCACACTAACAGTGCAGGCTCCTTAAGTGTGTAAATACAGGAAATAGGTAACGCATGTGCCCCCCATGCCCTGTGCCCCGCGAGGGTCCGTGGGCCCTGGGTCCCCTCCCTGCTCCCAGCCAGCCACCCACAACGTACTTACTGAACACAGCTTCAAGAATGGTTTGCAAACACTTGCTTCATTAATTTCCCTTTCATTTAATCAGGGAGATAAATTGAATTGACGCCACATTACCTGCTTCTCTGTGTTTACTGCGTGGTGAGCTGCAGAGCTGTTTGCTGGTAAACACTTTACAAGGTGGAGTAATTTATGTGAGGCGTTTTTACTCTCCGCACGCTCCAGCTACAGCGAGGCAGCGCCGAGGCGTTATTACCCTCGATTTAATCGTGCCCCTGTGGATCGGGAGCAGTTAAGTGTGTTTGATGATCCCTTCTAAAATACCCGTTGTTGCCAAACAAACATGAATGATTAAAAATTATTCTCTCGTACTGAGTCTGATTGACTATCCCCTTGTGCCCTAGCTAAGCAGGATCACAATTGGAAATAGTAGCTAAAAAGCTGCATAAAAATATTTAAAACAAAGTACTCCTCAATTTTTGCATATATAGTCACGCCTGCCCAGAAATATATCCCTTCTCTATTTAAGGATTTTTATCAAAATACCATTTTTTTTATATTTTCTAAAAACAGAAAAGTGCCACAGGATAGGAGGTAAGAAACCTCCGATCCTTTTAGGTTTCTACACATCTCTTTGGCAATAGCTGTTGGTGGATTTTCACAGGGAGTCTCCATACAATAAGCAATTTCACATGATACCTCCCCAGATATCATATGATCCCAGAGCCTCGAAGGTCTCCCAGCGACAGGCAGCGCACAACACACTTAACCTGCCAGCACAGCAGCACCACGGCTCCACTAATGATCTCCTGCCTCTTCATAATAAATGTGGACCTTTTAACTTACTTAAGGCTTTCAGAAAAACACATACTTTTAGCCAAAATTCTCTGGGTATAAACTCGACAAAACAGCACTGCCTATTTGTAGTTGAAGCATTGGAATTGCTGCTCTGGAACAGAGCGGGGACCAGCACCCCAGCCAGGGGCTGCCCAGCCTCCCCCTGCCCAACCAGCCCGTCCCAGGGAGCCAGCAGAAGCATCCCTCAGGCAGGGGAGGTACCTCACTCTGTCCTGGGGAGCCAGGAGAAGCGCCCCTTGGGCAGGGGAGGTACCTTACCCTGTCCCAGGGAGCCAGGAGAAGCATCCCTCGGGCAGGGGAGGTACCTCACCCTGTCCCAGGGACCACATGGCAGATGTGGCATGAATACTGACACAGGGTGAGGAACATCTCATCTTCACCTGACCCTCTCTGCACCTGTGCTTTGGAAAATAAAATAAATACAAAACTCTACTGACCAGAACCATCCCATCCAAGAACGGCGTTTCATACAAGTTGCTGACCACCCCAGGCAGGGTTGGGTGTGAGAGTGACACACACGTTACTTGTAACCAAGCCCAGGAGCTGATAAAGATCCAGGCAGGAAAATAAATATCACTTGCCCTCCATTCAGTGAATGAGCCAAGCAGGTACAAGTTCATTTCCAATCTCAAGTCCCTCACTGGGACCTCGTGAGGGTAAATGCAGTCTGTTTCTGGGTTTACTGTCCCCTCTCCACAAGAGGCGAGTCAGTGGCTGAGCTGCCAGCTGAGGGACACGAGGTCAGGCCCATGACACAGGCACTGTGAGCAGCCCTTCAACCCACGGCCCATTTCTAGTTAATAACTTCATTTACATCTGTGGTTGCATTTGGAAGAGCACAATTTAAAACAATTACCACAAAGCAGCAAGAAGTCCCTGGCCTGACTTCTAAAACAACTTTGCCTAACATGTATAATAACGTTTTGTTTGCTTTGTTTGCAGTTTTTCCAGATCTGCTCAAAATTATCCCTGCAAGTATCCATGTTAGTGTCGTTCTCTTCGGTACCGTACTGATTGTCTTTGCTCTGGTGGGAGCAGGTTTCTTCATGTTCAATGCTTTTGGCAGCCCTTATGAAACCCTGCACGGCCCCATCGGGTTGTACCTCTGGAGCTTCATCGCATGTAAGTACCAGCCCACCCCGACCAGGCTAATGCCCCCGCGTGTTGGCTACCTGCAGCGGCCGATCTATCAGCCTAGGAGACTGTATTAAGGACTGTGGCTGCATTGACTCGAAACTGGCATGACAAAGCTTGGCAGAAAGGAGGATCATTTTGCATGTATTTTTTAAACTGGAGTTTAGAGATAAAATCCTGAAATCCTCCATAAGGGTGGGCAGTGGGACGGGTACAGGGGCAGACAGCCCCCAACCCTTCTATGTGAGCTGGCAGAAAAAGGGATGGTGGCCACGAGCTGAAGGGACCCATCACAGACACACAGCACATGGCTGGAACCAGGAATCGCACCAGAGGGGCAGAAAGGGGGGAAAAAAACCCCAAACAAATCAAAAAGTCCATGATGCACTGCTCGCATTCTCTATGATGAGAGGTTTCCAGCTGTGTGAGCCAGATCACCACTTACACCAGAAAGACTTTCTTGGGGAAGGAAGGAATTGGGAAGCAGAAAGGGAGAGACTGACAGCAACTCGCTGTAAAACCACAGCACACGGGGCTAAGGGGCCATCCCCATCCCTCTGCCACTTAGAGAAGGTAAAGCCCTTTCTCTGAGTCGCTGGCTTGCCTGACAAGAAGATTTCCCCTTACTTTACAAAGTATTACATATTTCAGTCATAATTTAATAAAGGAGTTAAGTGCATATTTATCTTTAAACGTGTGGACAGTTCCGTTATGTTCAATGGGACAGTGAGCAGCTTAAAACCGATAAAGAGCTCAGATGCTGTGCTGGATCAGGGCTCTAAAGCAGCTGTGCTAATTATTATGAGTACTAAGTCCAATTCAATTAAAAAACTTACCAATTTCAATGGCTGTTGGCTTGGATTCTAAAAATAATCCCTGCTAAAGCTGAGTCATGATGGCCAGAACACCACCATCACTATGGCCCTTGGTTGTGACATCCACCAGCTGGTCTTGCTGCAGGGACTGCCGAGATGACGAGCCTCTCTCCCTCTGTTTCAGGTTGCTGTGGTTGCCTCATCATGATTCTCTTCTCTTCAGAAGTGAAAATCCATCATCTTTCTGAGAAAATTGCAAATTTCAAAGAAGGAAGTTTTACATTCAAGACTCACAATGAACAGTTTGCAAATTCATTCTGGATCGTCCTGGTTTGCTCCTTGGTGCAATTCCTGAACGCCTTGTTGATACGATTTGCTGGATATGAATTCCCCTTTTCAAAACCAAAAGATTCAGGGAGAACCACTGGAGCAGTTGACCTGATGTATTAGTTACGTAATTCAAGAACATTTCAAGAAAAGACTCACATCACCACTACGTTCAACAACCACCAGATGTACTAACAGCACCCTGCATTCCCTGGTCATAACCACGTGTGAGGGCGGCTGACAGCTGCCACAACAGCCTTTGGTTTTTCCATCATTTTATTCTTAATTAATAGACATGTTCTTCTTAATGCTAATGTATGTCGTTAACGCGTTGTTTGTGTTACATCTCATGGTGTTGTTTCCTATCAGCAAATAACAAGAAGTCATGTTTCACCCTCCTTGTTCCTGATGTTTCACGAAGCTGCTCCGACACGCCTGGGGAAACCCCGAGCAGGTCCCTGGGGTGCCGCGCGAAGCCAGGCTCAGCTCTTTAACATCAGCCCAACCTCACGTGTTTTCCACCGAAACTCAGACAGACACCCCTGCTCAGTGTGTTCTCATAGACCGAAAGAGAAAACAGACCCTGAGGTTTCCATGACCCGTGGGCTTCCCCTGCTCAGCTACGCGGTGCCTGACCGGTGCCCCTGAACGCCGGCCTGGCAACAGCAAGTGCCAGGAGCCAAGGGAGCACCACTCCACTCGGGTCTCACCTTCTCTCAGCTCATCTCCCCACAGAACTTGCTCAGTTGTACAGATACCTGCTAACTCTGCATTATTTTCCCTTGAGCTGTGTGGTGGTTGCACTGGGAGCACTGGGCTGGCAGCCAAACCCAGCCGCTCGCTCCATAGACCTGCCAAGGGGACTGGGGGGCAAGGGTAAGGAGACTCATAGGGGGAGATAAGAACAATTTAGTAATTGAAATAAAATAACACTTAAAATAATAATAATACTAGTAATAAAATATGCAAATGAGTGATGCCCAGTGCCATTGCTCACCACTCGTCAACCTATTCCCAGATCACGATCCCGCAGGAGCGACAATCCCAAACCGAAACCACAATCCCGGGAGAGCCAGAGCCCAAGCGAAAGCCAGAGAGAGCAAGAGAGGAAGAGCCCCTCATGGATCTCCTGCCCATGGGGGACAGGAGATGGAACAGCCCCTTGGCAGAGCCCAATGCCCATGGAGCTGATCCATGGCAATATTCCTCACCCCTGAGATCTTGCGCTTGCAGACGGACAAACACAAAGTCCTTCAGTGCCAGGGACACAAATGCAACATGGGGATGTTCTCAGCGTTTCTCTCCTGACAAATCCCAGCTGAACCCAAACCCCAGCGCTGTTCCAGCTGCTGAACAGAACCAGCTCTGGCCCTGCTCACACCAGGACAAGGTGCCACGTCCCCCCCAGCCCTCACAGCCCAGCCCAGGTCCCGCTTGCTGTTGCAGAGGGAGCTGGAGCCCAGGGCCTGGAAAATGCCCCTGTCCCTGCCCGGACCCAGCCCGGAGCCGGCCCTGGCACAGCTCTGTGCTCGGCATTAAACATTCATGTTCTTCATGGAGCCAACAAAAAACATCAGCTGTGCTGGGCTCTCATGGAAGTTTAATGACGGTGTGGCGGTGGGAGCTGGGTGAGCCCCGGGGTGACGGGCAGAGGGGACGTGGGTGCTGCACAGAGGGGTGGGTCTGGGGGAGCCGTACCTCACAGTCCCAGTTGCCCGGCGCGTGGGTAATGCTGATGGGTGACCAGGAGGCTGAGCTCACCGCGCCGCAGACATCGCTAGAGGAGATCGCCAGCAAAATTTCAGACCTAAACAAATGGAGAGAAATTTTTCATTTCCATGGGTAAGATTTTTACTCTGCTTCCTTATCACATGTTTTAATTCCAGGTGCTTTTTTAATATCATTTTTTAAGATCTGTTTTATTACGATTCTTCTGTGACCGTGGAATAAGGTCTTAATGTCCTCAGTAATGCAAGTACTACAGCTTTTCTTCTCTTTTAAAGTTCTTTCCTGGCTGATCTCCTGTTTCTTCATGTTTGCAAAGCCTTTTTAAATTTGTATTTTATTTTCCCTTTTCAGTTTGGAAATCAGAACTACCGCTCATCAGGTAACTTTCTGTAAAAGGTAACACTCTATTTTTCTCATGGTTTTTGCAAGTGTTCCACCAGATCAGTGTATTGAGGAAATTCTGCATCCAGACATGCAGCACAGCAGACAGTCTTTGTGGAGATTTAGTTCTTATGCTCCTCCTTTAAGAAACACACATTTTCTTTAGACATTTTAAAGGCATGTCTTCCTGATCTAAATCAAAGTGGCAGAGTAGTCCAACATAAATTAACCTTTCTGGCTAAAAGTAACGGTTTTCATGGTCAATTTTCCCTCTGGGGAGGGACTTTGGACAAGGGCAGGGAGTGACAGGACAAGGGGTGATGGCTTGAAAGTGGCAGAGGGGAGATGGAGATGAGATGTGAGGAAGAAATTCTTTGGTGTGAGGGTGCTGAGACAGTGTCCCAGGTTGGGCAGAGAAGCTGTGGCTGCTCCTCCCTGGAAGTGTTTAAGGCCAGGCTGGATGAGGCTTTGAGCAACCTGGTCTAGTGGAAGGTGTCCCTGCTGCTGGCAGGGGGGTTGGGACTGGATGAGCTTTAAGGTCCCTTCCAACCCAAACCCGTCTGGGATTCTATGAATTGTAGAACACAGGAAAAAATGGTAACAAATTAGGATCTCTTAAATACAAGTATTTGAAAAACGTGCTGTGTCCTTAGACTGGAAAGCCCTGGAGTTTATTCGCTGTAGTTCAAACACTTTATGCTCCAACCATTAGCTTGTCAGAGGCAGTCATAACATTTGTCAAAAGCTGAAGCCAAACACGGGGGGAAGCTGTTGGCGCACGTGGGCGCCCGTTGGGTGCATGTGGTGGTGGGTGATGAACCATCTGCTCCTCTCTCCTCCAGCAGCACCAGGGCAGCACTGGCCATGGGCCACCTGGAGTTGGGGAGCCCACGGGGCCACCACTGCTGCCTCAACCCCCCACCGCCGTCCCCGAGCCCCTCCTGGTCCCTCCAGACATGGGCGGCCGACCCATCTCCTTGGAAATGGCGCTGGTGAGCAGGCTGCTGAATTAACCATAAGCTGTAATTTAACCTCGTTAAAAGAAAGCGGCTCAGGAACCTGACCTGGCGTGACGGGGGCTCGGCGGGTCGCAGGGCTGCAGGCTGCTGTTCCCTGCAACAGGAGTAAGCAGCCATCGGGATTTATTTATGAGACTTTCAAAGAATGTGGTTGCAACACAACCATAAGCTGATACACGATAATTCTCCTTAGATCACAGCTCAAACGACAAAGTGGGATGTTTCCCTGCTCTTCGGTGCTTTCCTAGCAAACAGCCTCAGAACAGGAGGCAGAAGGTCAGGAGATCAGTAAGGTCTCTCTACTCTCATCCCCATACCTGGTTTTGAGGCCAGCATTGCTGGATGCTGCTGTCCCTGCCCAGTGAAGAGCCTCTGCCCGAAGCTCAGGGGGTTCTGCCAGTGATGGCAGGGTGGTCCCCAGTGCCGGCCTGACCACCCGTGCCCTCCCACATCAAACCAGCCCCCTCTCACTTCAGCACAAACCTAATGAGAAGCTCAATACTGTAGGTGAAAGCCTGGCCAGGGCTGCGCTGCCAAACACACAGCCAAAAAGGTCCAGTCCTGAAAAGATTCGGATACAGAACCACACTTACCGTCAGCTTCACAGGAATCCATCTCCTGCAGTTCATGACCCGCTTGCACAAACCATCCACACCAGAGGCAAGCAGTTTGTGAGGGGATAGTGACCACGTCTGTCTGGTTCACTTTGCTCAGCAAATACATAATTCACCAAAATTAACATTAATTAGTGAAAATGCTCCAGGTGGGCACAGGCAGGGTCGCAGAGGGGGGTGTGGGTGAGGCAGGGTGGGCCCCGGCTCCAGGTGGGCGCAGGCAGGGTTGCAGAGGGGTGTGTGGGTGAGGCAGGCTGGGTCCCGGGCACACCCAGCCAGAGCCGGGGCAGCCGGGACTGTCACCCCCAGGGAACAGCACCTGCCTGCCCTGGCAGCAGAGTGCCCGTGTTAAAGTCACCATGAACCAACCGTGCAAGTGGATCTGTTCTAGGGGAAGCCACCTGGGTTTTTGAACGTTCTCTTTTAATCCAGCTGCCCACCCAAAAGCCAGCTGTGGTGCCCAGGAGGGTCCTGGACACAGGCCATGTGCAGCAATGGCCACGCCACCCTCCGAGCGAGAGCCCACCGATGATCCCCTCAGCTCCCCGCCAGCGCCGCGCTGCCTGGGCACTGCTGCTGCCCAGGGCTCTGCAGGGGCTTCGCACGGGCAGATGTGGACAGTGAATTCTGTCCCCAGAGTTGCTGCTGATGCTGTCCCCAGAGGGGCTGCTGATGACGGCCAGCGCCTTGCCCAGGTCGTCCCCCAAAGGTGCAGCGTATCAGAATGTAAATTACCTGCACATCGCAGCTGTACTGCACAGGAGGGTCTGCACGCCGAGTGAGGCCAGTCCTGCGTTAACCACAAACATCACCTTCGCCTTGAAATGACGGTGCCTGGTTCTCAGGAGATGATTTTGCAGCACTCCAGCTGTCACTGCACCCGGATGCCGAGGCTCCTCTGATGTTAGAGATCCTGGGATGTGAGGAGCTGAACCCCTCTGTCTCCTCCTCCGCAGGGGCTGCGAAAGCTGCTGTTTGGAAACACGCTCCACCTCTTCAGCTGACAGAGG